AACCTGTTATATATGCACACACAGATGCTCTGGTGTTTCTTAAAGTGGGTCATGGTCAAAATGATCTGAAAGCCATTGCTTTACATACTCTATGTTGCCTCAGTTCCTTCCATGTTTTATTAGTCTCATAAAACTCTATCCACTTGGAGTTTTATGTGACTCACACTGGATGGTTGATTCCATCAAGCCACTTGCAGTTCCCCAAACCCACCTTGCTCTTTTGCTACTATGTTTGGAAGTATACACGCCGGGCACGGTGCTAGGCACTAGGAATGCGGTCATGAGAAAAATCAAGGTCTTACCTACATGGCACTGAAGAATTTAGACAAATGTTATACTAATCACACTAAATAATATACACTTATGAAGCAAAATAAGTTGTCTAATTAAACAAATATGAATTTTCAAGAACATTTATCAAAGGCACTTAGTCTAGGGAAACAAGCGCAGCATCCCTGAAGTAGAATCAATTAGCAGAGACCTAAAGAATATGTCAGTATTAACTGGATCAAAGGGTAGAGGAAGAACATTCCAGACATATCAGAATACTTAAGGGGCCTTAGGATGAAAGAAGGCCTGGACTGTTTGACAAACTTAAAAAGAAGGCCAGCATGCAGAAGCCCAGAGAAAAAGTGGGACAGAGATATAAGACAAGACTGGCAAAGCTGGCAGTGGCTAGGCCAGGTAGAATCTTATGGGCTAGGATTTTGTTTTCTCTCTCCAAGAGTTATAGGAAGCCACGGGAGGATTTAAACAGATGACGATGAAATAAGAGTTGTGAAGATACTCTGTCTGCCATGTGGAGGATGGACTTGAGGGAGGAAGGAGTGACCTACAGGAAAGCCAGTCAGGAGGCTAGTAGAACAGTTCAGGTGAGCAGCGACAGTGAACATACTGGGCATGAGGAGGAAGGTGCTGGCAGTGAAACAGAGGCTAACACTAGGTTCTGGCTTGCACAGTTGGAAGGTGCTGCCAGCTGAGAGAGTAAACTGGAAGAGACCAGGTTTGGAGAAGCCTGTGGGGTCAGTCTCGGATAAGTTGCATTTAAGGTGACTTTGAGCTGAATGTATCCTGGCTGAGACAACCCGAAAGTCATGGGTGTTTACACGGTAAATAAAATTGGGTACACAAGAGTGAGGAAAAGAGCTCTGAAGACCTCTCCACTCCTATGTATTTCTATTTATTATAAATGTATATGACTATATGTAGTCAACTACACACTTACACCTGCTGTTAAATTCAAACATATAAAATAAAAAGTTAAGTCTGCTCACTCTTTGGTAATTAACAATTTGGTATGTACCCTTAGATACCTTTTAAATGGAATTATGCTATATATACTTTCTACAATCTGCTTTTTAAAATCAGTGTAGTGAGAAGATTTTTCTGTATTGGGATATAGTTCTAGCTTATTCACTGAATGGCTGCAAAGTATGACAGAGGACTCCATCATATTTTTACATATGCTGTCCCCACTGACAGGTATTTAGGTTACCTGACACAGTTACCTGCCTGTTCAGTATCCATTGTCCCCTCCTGCCTTGCTCAATGAACCCTGATTCTGTTACAATGGCAACATGTTCAGCTCCAGCTGATGGTTCAGGATTGGCTTAAGCAGACTAAGACCATCCTGTTGCCCATGTTTTCAGCTTCCCTTGTAGCTATGGGTCATGTTATTAGTTTTGGCTAATGACTCCTATGGTCCTGCTGTGAGAGTTTCTGAGTAAATTTTGCTTTTCTGATAAAAGCAAATTAACATGAATATGCTCTTTTCTTTTTCTTCCTGTTTTGGACATGAATATAAGGATGGGAGTTTCAAAGTCATTTTGCAACTACAAGGCCATAAGCCAACACTAAGAATAGTAAAACAGAAAGGCAGAGAGAAAGCCTAGGGCCTGATACACATTAGACACACACATAAACTGACTCATCTTCAAGAATACAAATGTTTTCCACTTTGAAGTCAGAAAAAGTAAAATGAACTGCTTTGGATCAAAGATTCAGAGTAGACATGATGCCCTATAAAAATAAGAAGCAAGATGGCTCTTTCTGCCATCTTGGAGCCTGTGGAGGCCTGCTGGGAACAGGACTCCTAAACCAACAGGTATGTCTGGAAGGCTGTGGCCAAGGCCATTTTTGCTGGCTACAGGCAGGGTCTCTGGAACCAGTGGGAGCACATCTTCTTAAAACTGAAGTGTTTATGCTTGAGATGAAACTGAATTCTGTCTAGGCAAGAGATACACTTAATGTATATAGAGCAAAGAACAACATAGTGACTTCTGGTGGTAAACCAGACAAAACCAGAGTAATCTGGGGAAAGGTATCTCGTGCTCATGGGAACAGTGGCATGGTTCATGACAAATTCCAAAGGAACCTGCCTCCTAAGGCCTTTGGATACAGAATCTGTGATGCTGTACCCTTCAAGGAGTACATTTACTGAAAAGTAAATAAGTAAAAGTGGACCAGTTCTGTTGTTTAAAAAAAAAAAAAAGGTAAGACAGGGAAAGTACTTTCATTTGTTCCTAAGGACACCTTCAGGTTTTGGGTACAGAAATGCCTCTGGTCTTATAATTTGACAGAATGGCCTTTGTACACAATCTTTGGCACCTCTTGCTTCCCCTTGTTTCAGATTTCTATCTTCTTTTTCCTGCTCTTTTTGATAATGGGATAAATTAAGAAATAATCTTAGATGAAAAGTTGGAAGGTATTTGATTTGGGTGAGCCATTACTTTTCATAAGTTTACAACTAGAAAACAAAAATGAAACACCAGAAAAAAAAAACTTTTTAAGGCAGGAAAAAAATTCCTCTCTTTTTAAGAAAAAGTGCTTCTTAGCTATTTATTTCTAGAAAACAGTTATTGGTCCTCTAATGTTGATGGTTTCTTCTGTTCTTGTCAGCTTCTCATGTTCTTGCAAAAATAGAAGGTGTTTAATTTCTAAAAATTCAGCAACTTGTAGCTCCACTTAAACACTTAAAGGCTATTACATTAATAAATGTATAATGTATGAATAAGCTATAATTTAAAATAAGACACAAAACAATTTTATGTGTAATCCAAATTGTACGTAATTCCCATCTATGCTTCTAAACAAATAGAAGCTCACATCTGTACTACTTTTACAGTTTACAAAATGCTTTTAAATACATTTCCTCTTTTTCTATTCAATACAGACATGTGAGATAAATACTACTCTTATTTCACAGATGGAAACAGACCCAGACATCATTCAGTGTTTTAGTCACTGTATAGTAATAGCCCAGAGACTTCAGATCTACAAAGGGTTTTAATAATGCAAATATCACATATACTTTAATTTTTATCACCAACTTTCCATTTTCTTAATAAAAGAAAACAACAAAAAAAATTTTCTACCACCTAATAATAAAAATGGGAAGTATTAGAGACAGCTGGATACTAACCCAATGAGTCAGATCTACCAGAAGCAAAGTCCACTTCAGGGGCCTTATATTGTTGCCTATATACAGGACACCAGTACCAGAACCACATTTACAGGAGTACTTTTTTTTTCTATTACAGAGAAAGTAATGCAGGACATTCCTGTTGCCTCCAAGTCTAACATACATGTATGTGTGCAGGTGGCCACAAAGGATGCAGAAAAATACTCTGTGCAGATTCGGCATTATAGGGCCTCTGATTATCCCAGGTTAAGCCTACAGGTAGGCCTTGACAATATGGTCCCAGATCTCACCTTTAGTAGTAAATATATTCTTCTTGCCCCCCAACTGCCACCCCATTTCTTCCTAAGTTCTCTGTACTATTTAGACAGAAATTCCAACAGGTAGCCTTTCTTTTCTGAATTATCTTCCCTACTGTATAGTTTTTTTCAGAATATTTCTTTCCTATTGTTAAATCTTGAAGACATTTCCTTACAGCAGATGAGGGAGGTATAGCTTATATTCACTGCCAGAAAAGGGTCAGTTCCAGCATTAATTTCCCAGCAAAAAACAGAAAATTTGAGCAGAAAGGGAAAGAACAGTGATAACTGGTGGAGCAGTGACACCTGTACTCGGAAAGCTGCACTGCAGTTCTCCAAAATTTGATGTTACCTTTCTGTTACTACTCTGCCAATTTAAAGAGGAAAATTCTGGCTGGTCACAAGTTCAAAGGAGACCAACGTGTTTACATCATTGGTTCAATGAATCACTCTTTTTGATGTTATGTTTTTATTGCATGTGAGGACATTGTCAATAAATATCTTGAGTTTGAGACCCTGGCTGGGTAATCCTTTTGCAGTAGAAATCAGATTTCTTTGGCCAAACTCCATTGCCAGCAATGGGATTTATCGAAACAACAAAAGCCAGCACATGGAATATTTCAATACTGTACTCAATTGTTCATATCTAAATATTTCAGCTATAAAACAAACCAAATGTAAATGCTTAATAGTACAAATCAACAGATTCTTCACAGAAGAAAACAATGAAAGACTAATTTTCTACATGTCACCTGTTCATTAGTTCTTCAATATTACCTAGGTTATCTCAAGAATAAAATTATGCACCACTACCCATGTTTTCTCAACATTTTTTATGTAGGTTCTAATGGGCATAAACAAGGATGCATATAGTCAGAATTGTTTTTGTAAACTTTTGAAGTTTTGTTATGTATCTTACAATAATGAATATATGGAGACAAAAAACAAAAGTACATTTAAGTCATCAGTGGTCCTATGAATTCTACTTGTATGGCTAGTTGCCTATATGGGTCTTGTAAATGACAAGAAAAAATAACAAAGTTTAATAAGCTCATCCATGCCTTGTGAACCATTAGTCCACTCACATCATAACTTGATTTAGTCACTATTTATTAGTTTTTAAAAATGTTTTTTAAAAGCTGCAAACCACACTTAGTACACACTTATGAAACATGAGGGGATAAATTGTAACAGAGTTCCCTCATGCCACTGACTCTTTATTCTACAATAAATAGTTTCCAAACTCTTCTTTTGAAAACCTTGAATTGTGTTCTATGACTGACCTTCACTCTACCGTCCCTTTGACCCAAGGCACGGTCCCTGGTGCATCTTTTTGAGATTTAGTTTCTGGGAAGTTTTCAGCAAACCTCTCTCGTGCTTTCTCCCAGTTTTTTTTGCTCTTGTTCTGGAGAAGGTGAACATCTTCAATTGAGGATGGCTTGCCTGTCCCCAAGCCTGCATGTGTTCGCCGAAGCTGAAGCTGGATCTGTTAACAAAAGTTGAGCAGAGGACTTCACTATATAATCAACACACTGAAATCTGCTGTTCTTAATTCTTTAATTTAGAAAAGGCTGCTGATGCAAAAGAAAAACCTGTCAATTGCATCAAATATATACAGGAATATATACATATTACACATGGAACTTAAACTCATTTTCCTACATTGTCTTGCCTGTCAACAAGTACAGCTAACTCTATTGAAAACAGAATGCTCCTTAAATAGCATTCACCAAATTTCATGAGATGCTGCAGATCTATTATTCCACTCTAACCAGAAGTAAAGGCAATGGACATATTTAACCTACTGTCCTAGCCTCACCTAAGTAAGTGTACAAGTAGGTTAAACATTGAGAGTCATAAAGAGAACCTGACTGTTTACTTTCATAAAAGAAGAGGAGGACTTTTCATTATTTTGACAACCATTAAAAGCTACAAGTTACTGAGTGCCTATGTATGTCAAGCACCATGCTAGGTCCAAACTTGCCCTAAGTCACACAGCTACTAAGTGACAGAAGATATAAACACATCATTTTATTTTGCAGATCTGATTATAAAACCTGTTTTTTCCAGTGTACCTCAACAAAAATGAGAAAATTTACATTAAACATACCCACTTTCTTTACCAAGTAATTTTAACAAGTAATATTTAATATAACAATTAATTATCAAGACAGTTCTTTAGTCATGTTACTTTGTAAGGTTTTTGTGAAAAATAGTCTGAACCTCCAATGAACCATGGGACTGCAGAATTAAAACCACTGTATCATTTTCCAGACATTATTCTATCGCTAATTACACGCTCTGACTCTTGAACTTAAAACAGATTCTCCAGGTAATATAAAATCTGCCTATTTATAAAGTAACACTGTGATTGTTCCTGCAGTGTTTAGTTCCAGGCATGGTAAGGAAGTCATTGGTAACAACTAAAGACACAGAAGAACCTTTGGCTCAGAAAATAACATTTATTATCCTACCTTTGATAAAAGAAAAAATTCTAAGAGGCTCCCTAAAAACATTAAAAACAAACAAAACAGTGCACAGATAGACATTTGATAATCATGTATGTTTTTGTTTGCTACCACACTTCTGCCACTTAAGGCAACGCCTGGGATATAGCAGATACACAGTAAATATACCTGCTGTTAAGAATAAAGAATGAAAGAAAATACCAAATACTGGTCTTACCGGAGTTTTCATTCCTCCACCATCCTTCCCAAGGCCCTCTCCTTTTCTCCAACCCATTTTCTCCAACATCTTCCGACCTTTGTTGCTATCTGTAATTTCACTTTAAAGAAAATTAAGATGACAGTTGATTTCTAAAAGACCAGTCACTTCACATTTATAATAAATTAATGAATTAAAAATAATTAGTACAGCTACTTTAACTGTTTGTCATGACCTAATAAAGTTGAAGATTAAAAAATTCTACTCCTTACATATACAACAGAAAGCATGTATATGGTATACCAAAAAGATGTACAAGAATGTTTTTGCAGGTAATCTAATTACAACCCAAAATTAGTAACAACCCAGATGTCCACCAGAGGTAAAATGTATAAATTGTGGTATATTCACCCAAGAGCATTAAAAATAAAATATACCTAACAAAATAATGTTAGACAAAAAGAATACACACACACAATAAATACTGAATTATTCCATTTATTTAAAATTCAAAGATAAGTGAAATTAATCTGTTGCTGTTAGAAGACAGGAGAGGGATTACTTTTGGAGAGGAAAGACGTACACAGATAAGGAGAGGGACCTAAAAGCATAGGTTTCTGGGATTACTGGTAATTTTCTATTTCTTGACCAAGAAATTTATATTCTGCCACATGTTAATCTTGTAATATATTATTGATATTATATTTGTTTACTTTTCTGCATATACATTAAACATCAATAAAAAAGTTAAAATAAAATGGAACAAAACCCCCCTCAGTCACTTTTGCCTTTTGCTCTATGATTTTGTTCTAATTTAAGGATATTTTAATTTTATGTTCTATAACACTGTCTTCTGTTCTAAATATGTTAAATTAGCTCTTTAACAATAAACCAATGTCAGAACAATGTGTTTCATTTTTTATTTGACTTCCAATTTAGCTCTAATGCAATCTTCATTTTCTCCAACAATTTTTTCAAAAATATTAAACTTAAAAAAAAAAACTGGTCAAGCTGTTTAGTATACTTAATTTATAATACTATATTTCATCAAATCTGACTCCACAAATTATAAGATGCAGTTATTTCATGTACCATTAAGAAAAAAAAATATGTCAGATGTAATTCTAAAACTTTACCCAAGTAGTATATCTTAGAATCAATAAAATATATTTAGTCAAAATTTTATGATTAGTTGTCAGTTCCACATGAAATAACTGCATTTTAACTAAACCCAGAATTTATATTCTGAAAAGAAAAATATAACTAATATATGATAAAATGTAGAAATATGATAAAATGTAGAAAAATCAAAATTTTATGATTAGTTGTCAGTTCCACATGAAATATTTACATTTTAACTAAACCCAGAATTTATATTCTGAGAAGAAAAATATAACTAATATATGATAAAATGTAGAAATATGGTCATATTGTAGGCTTTAAAAGTTACATTTTTCATGTTTATCAAGGCTGTTTTACCAAGAAATAAACTGTAATATGTAATCACAGTAGAGTGAAAATATAGTATATGTTGCCTTAATGCTATATACATATTCTCATATCACTACAGTAGCCAAAGAAACAATATTCTACCAGTATTAAAAGGAACATGTAGAACTCATGGGATTGGAAAAAAATTAATTTATCCTTTTCTCTAAGAATTGACAAACAAAAAAAAGTAGTTGATTACTTAAATAATTATTTAAAAACACCAGTCCATATTAATTACTAGCCCAGACTTCTTTATATATCTAGTATATAAAAGTACTCTCACTCAATTGTGGCTAGAATGTTAGCTATGCATATTTATGTGTGTTTAACTATGTGTACTCACATATATGTTCAACAACTTTCCAGAGAATAATGGAATTCTAATATTATAAGAAAATATAAATAGATGTAGTGTTTCCATCTGTTTTAAGCCATTACTCTAGAGACTACCTATCAGAATATACAGCCCTATAAGTTAGAGTACCCTATGAATATTATCATGGTACAAAGTTTCAAGCAATTAAAATCTCATACGTACGAGTGAACAGATGCAGGAGCATCATCTCTCTGGAAAGTTCCTTCACTTCCAATCTGCTCTCTACGTTTTCCAGCTCTGTCTTTATATTTTGGATTCTTCAGTGCCTTTTCATCTTCATAGTCTGTATTCTTTATAAACACAAAATATCAATTGAGGAAAACAAAACTAATGAATAAAAATGCAGTGTCTGTATATTTGCTTTACTTAGCAAATATTGTTCACTGTGGACTCCATTAAGATAATGAATTAAATGTTATTTTTATTCTGAATCCTTTAAATGTTTATATTATTTCAACTTGTATTACAACATAGGCAATAATATAAATCATATAAATTGTAATTTGTAATAAGATAATAAAGTGAAAAAAGAGTGTTTTTTGACATAATGCTGTGCACTCATATCCTCATATGAACTATCAGTATTCAAAGAAATATGTATAACCTCTAAGGGTTGGGAAAAAAATCATTTCTCCTTTTCTCTAAGGAACATTAAAAGTTCCAAAAAACCTAGTTTGATACTGTTCCTTGGAT